TGCTCGCTTCGCTGGTTGTTAGTCAAGTTAGAAATTTTTGCCATGGAATCACTGATTGATATATAGGTGAATCGCCAGAATTACTTGAATTTATTTGCTTGTTTTTCTATTATTTATTATTAGCACAGATTACAATTATTTCAATAATAATTTCACTTATCTGCTTCTTTTTTTCTAAAATTAAAAGTATTTTTCTTACCATTCAATCAAAAAGATGGAAATTCTAGCACGTCCTAATTAATAAAAAAAGGTTTAACCGTTATTTCAATATTTACCTACCCAATCATTTAATTTTATGGTGGTTGATTGTGCTAAAAATGAAGAGTTCCTCTTCGAATTTCATGATTGGGCTAACTTGAATGAATTTTGGATCATCTTTTGGACCTAATTGGCAAACCTCTTCAACGCCAAGTTCCGACAAATAAATGAGTTTCGTTGGTTCCTTGAAATAATTTTTCAAAGAGTCAAATTCCTTATTCAGTTCCTCATTCTCTACCAAATTTCTTTTGTGTTTTAATGTTGCCGAATGACATTCCTAAATTTATTAGTTAGATTTTCAAAAGCAAATATAAATTCGGAGAGTTATTTGATTTTTATTTCATTCTAAACAATATCTTCTTTTTTTGATATGAAATTTTTGGTTCAAAAATAGATTCCTCGTTATCAAAAAAAAATTTTCTTTTTTCTTCAGTTAGTGTAAATGAGGGAGCGCAGATGAGTGGCTGGTGCTCAGATTATCTCCTCGAACCTAGCTCTGAAATAGCCAATAGAGCGAGCCAAACCAGAAATTGTAACACTTATAAAACCCAAATACCCTAATAGTCTAACCGGAAATGATAAGTCAACCATGATTGTTCATAGAATTTTGATTTTTTAGATATTCTTTATCCATTTTCTTGCATTCTACATTCATTATTCTATTTCATCTAATTTACAATTTAACATTCGCTATTTCTGGCTTAGTTTTCGCAGTTAGTCGCCATTGTTTTACCGAAGAGCCAATATGGATACTCGGATTTCACTTTTTTATAACCCGTTCGCAGTAGAAGCAGCGTGCAAATAAGTCCCTAAATGACAAAAATTTCAACAAATAATGGAATTCATATGCCAACCGTTAACAATCTAGGATTCGTAAAAAACTCTTTATATTTTAAAAAATCCAAACAACTCTTTCTCAAATTCTGACGAAATAACCTTCTAAATTTTTTGATGCAAAATGTTTATTAGACTGAATGATTGGCTATAGAATAAATGTGCAAAACGAACAATAAATGACGCTTCTCATTTACCATTTTTCTTGGTATTCGTCTTCGTATTTTCAATATTTTTGTTTGGCACCATTTTATTTTGTTTCCTTTCCTTGAAAATTGCGAGGAAATCATTTTTTTGAGAATATTTATTTCTTCATGGTTTTGCTTTTCAGAACAATGATCTTACGGGTTAAAATCGACTTTTTTGGTTTCATTTCGATAATATTGCTCAATTTCGCACGTTCGAATAAGCCATTGTCTCATGGTTATCACCATAGAGGTTTGTGTGGTTTTCCTTAAAGAAAGTAAAATCATTGGTTTGAACCAAACATTAATGAAAAGATCCATTCTATTACTTTTTCTTTTCTTTTTCTCCCGTCACTCCTGATTTAGCTCGCTCCATGAGCGTCTAGTATAAAATGTTTCTAAACCTCCAGATCCAATGCCATTCTTTAAAGTAAACAAAGCCACTCCTTTTTCCATTGTCTGAATTTATACATCGTTGGGAAACTTATGTAAACCTATATATCGCTTATTCAAAATGCCATTTAAATCCAGGTTTTGACTGGTCCTTCTGGATACTGACACCATCCATCACGGGCAAAAGTTGTAAAAGACCAATAGTTCCCTGATGTCCTCCACTTTCATTGGCCAATTTTCGCAGACATATATTAAGATTGCGCATAAAACCATACAGCCAGAGAGATGCAAATTTATTTTTGTTTTGAGATTGACGACTCCAGAGAAATTTTCCAGAAGGCACCTCTGGTTACAGCCATCCAACTATTGTTTCATCTTTCGCCTGGCCATTAGATATGAGCGTGGATCCAAGCTATTAAATCTGATAAAAATCTAATACTTTTTAAAATGAAGTTGACAAATTGCGATTTTATCAATATCTGATATATAAAATGAAAAGAGTTTTGTCTTTAATGATTTAAAGGCTAATTTTCGCTGCTGATGTTGATTTGCGGCTAGATGCATATTATTACAATTTCTTGTAATTTTCGATGAACAAGACCACATCGTCACTCCATTAGGATAGGACATAATGCTTTGGACCGATTTGTGCACCGTTTGGACAAACGCATCCATAATTCAATTTATATTATAAAAAATAAGGAGTAGAACGAAGCAAGGCGCGCTGGTATATATCTTAAAAGATTGCTAATTTCCCACCCAAATAAAACCTGCACTGATAAAATGTTTTAATAAGCTTGATTATCTCCTCTCGATGTTGTATGATTTGCCAGAGTGCCGCCATATTGATCGAATTAAAACCAGTGGCAAAATCGATTATGCACTCTATATTTGAAGTATTTATTTTTTTCGACGCGAAACTTGGTGAGCATAACCCATGCCCTCACCTATGTCCGGATGGGTAAGGTGCTTCTTGCTTTCACTGGTTTGAGTTTGAGTTAAACAAAAATAAAAATTTTCTATACAAAAATTTTCTTTTCCCAAAAAATATCTAGCAAGGTGATTTCTCGATCACAGTACGTCCTGTCATCTTTCTTGGGAGAAGAACTGCCTTATTCCAGTCATATGGTATTTGCTGTTCCTAATGAACTTTTGCAAGTGTATTATGAAGTACGCTGAATAGCATTTGAAGAGTTTCGCAGGCCTTTCCTCGAGTCTTTTTGATCTTAAGCTTGCGAGTTACAGAAATTATTTCGTACTTAGCTGGTGATTACTGTCGGTTCCAAATGTATTGTAATCGTATTCGATGATGATTCGATGGTAGTTAAGCTTAGATTTTTAAAGATTTACCGTCGCGAAAGACGATCTTTGATGGCCTTAACGACATCCTTATCTCCGATTTCATCATTTCTTACTCTGGTTGCATTGCGAAGTAGGCTAAATAGCTTTCGATCACCCATTCAAGCTGCAAACTTTATATTCAAGGTATCGACTTTACTATGTTTTTGTTGCTAATCTACAGAGTTGCCATAGTTAACATCTTCTGACACGCGAGTCTTGGCATCGCTGTCGGACTGTTGGTACCATTCGAGATCCAGCTTGTCTTCTTCCAAGCTGCATATCCAGGGTAGATTTAGGGCTGATTTATGGATACAAGATTTCGTACTATATAGTACTCTTCCACTACTCTTCAGAAGTTCCAAAGGTGTTGCTGTCTAGACATATAAAATTCTTTAGATGTACAATTTGAAATGTGCCAACTGTTCCTGAATCTTTTAACTTGAGATAGTCAAAAGATTTTGGAGGAGTGCTTTGCGCGCTGTCAGTTTCATTCGGATCTAACCATGAAGTGGTTTAACCGGTTCAAAGGCCAATTAGCCTCTACGATATGTGCTGCCGTCCAGTATATCACTCTTCCATCAATGATTGACCAGAATAAAGTCAATCTGATTGGAGTGTCAATTACCTGGCGAATCCAGGCAATTAGATATCTTGGTAATTAGATGGACTAATGACATTAAATATTGTCGGTAAAAAATCCATGTTCCGAAAAAGGCGTTCAGTATATTGCGTTTAGATTTTAAAAAGTTGGGAACATTTTGTAAACAGAGCAAGCGAACTCCTTTATTCTCTTACAAACCGTACGAACAGAAGAAATAAAGTAAAATAAACTAAAATAGAACTGAATAGTTTTATTAAATACGAAAGAAATGCTTAGGGGTTGAAATTATAAAAAATTAAATTAAACAATTTTATCGATATTTTTTCTCATGAAACTAGATGGAGCAAAAACTGTATTAAAAACTGTATTACTTGGTAATTCTTTTTAATAAATTGTATATTTTAATTTAAAAAATGGCAGATTTAATTTAACTTTATAAAGCTTCTTTGGTAGTAATTATGTTTTTATGATTTGTTATTTTGATTTTATTTTGATTTCGATTTTTTTCCGATAGAATAATAAAATGAGAGGTCATTATATGAAATTCAAAGAATTTCTTGATTAACGGCAAATAATCACTTGTATTATCAGCGATTCCGCAAAATTAAACTAAAGCAGAGCTTTGTTTCCAAACGATAGTTCAGTCTCTGGAAGCAGTCACTGAATAAGATTTAATTTTAAGATTTAATTTTTTTCAGTACCTGCTATAAAATATATTTTTTAAAAAATTTTCTCGTCTAATTTTAGTGGATGAAATTTCTGAAATTATGCCGCTACCTTCGGTTGCTAAAATATTTTCTGGTGGCGCCTCACTGACGACTCAAGTAATCACGCTATCACCAACTGATATCGAGAAGCTGCTGGCATCAAGCCCCATTCTTAAGACTTTTCCGATGTTTGAGAGCCACGAGTGATTTTAAAAAAATTTTTTTTTAATTTTGGGATGAAATAATTTTCCATCAATTTAATTATAATAAATTTTTCATTAAAGAAATCCGCATCCAATTTATATTCTTCCTCTTATAAAAAAAAGAATTATTAAGAATTAAAGAAAAAAGAAAAAAAAAAGAAAAAAAGAAGAAAAAGAAAAAAAGAAACACAGTTCACATAGTTGATTTCATTTAATGAAATCAGTGATGCTACCATGGCTAATTCGGTTTGACTATCACGATAAGGTCATTCCGTCAGAGATTCATTTGGAAACTAGAATTGTAGATGAGCATTTTAATAATAGGTCTATTCCTACTCAATATCGAGTTTCGACAATAAAGGCAAATATCACCTTATGAACAAATTAGAAGAAATAATTTTTAGTTTAAATAATTTTGAATTTTTGTAAACAATAATTTAGTTCAAAAAAATGAGACACTATTTCCACACGATAAGATATGATATGTTTCAGCGCTGATGGCGAAAAGGATGTGATGATAGAAGACTACGTCTATGAAAAGGCTGCGGATAGCATTTTGGATAAAAAGGTAGAATACAAAAAATAAATTGGTCAGGTGTTCAGATGTGCAATGTTCCTCTTAAACCAACTAAATCCACCTCAATTATCTCACTTTACTTTCTAATTTCATATATCCTTTTTTTCTTGTTAATTCTTTTTAATTTATATATCCATAATATTTTAACGTAAATCAGCATTTAATTCGACGTTTTCTAAGAATTTTTATCATTTCATGTTATATTTTTCATAAACCGTTCTAATTTCCCGTTTTGATAAAAAAAAGATTATAAACAATTTAGTAAAAAAACTTATATGTCATTTTGCAAGGTCAATGAAGAGTTTTTCAATAATTTGACAAAAGGCTTCGTTGAACAATTCAAATTTACCGATATTCCATACCATGCTGATAATTTTGGTGAGAATCATCAGCTTATCAATAAAAATTTCTTCAGTCATGCCAAAAAATCGGAAATTATCGAGGTAATTGTTTACTTTTATCAGTATTTCAATTTTGTCAGAAGATATAAGCATAAAGGAATGATCTATTGATTAATCCTAATATGCAAGAAATCCTTTAATTTTGATAACTGCTGTAGGCAATTTTCTTTAAAAAAAATATCTGGAAATCATGGAAATATTTAAACTAATAAACATTGTCTCTGTTTGCTTATCCTTTTCTTATACGACTAAATTCTTAACTTTTCATTTCTCTAAACTTCTAATCACTTTTTTTTAATAAATGGTTGAAGAATTACAAATTAGAGAGGAGAAAGAGAAGGGTTTCTTAATGTTTAGGAACTAATGAATTTTTTTTTAATGCTGCGTTGACGGAAATCTTATCGCTTATTCGATATTTACTTAAACAGCAAAAAAATGGAGAATTATGATTCTCCAAGTGAAAAAACTTCCTAACGAACCGCAAAAAATTAGAAATTCTGTAATTTCTTTGTGAGAAGATTTTATCGAATTCGATCAATCATTTTCTAAGATCATGGATTTCAAATATTTTATTGCATAAATATGTTCGAGGTTTTGCAAAAAAAAATCAAACTTTCCATGACTCTCTAAGTAATATACAAAAAAATATTGAGGTCGGTAATCAAATAGGTTTTCTTTTTATATGCAATTAACAATTAAAATTTGACTTTTAATGGTCATAAAAGATTCGTAAATTTTCGCTTTATTTCTTATTTAAATTGTTTGTCACAGATTTTCTGTGTGGATTGGCATCGACATTTCCATAAAATAGGAAATGTGAAGATTTTATTAGTTAATAAATCACTTTTTTAAAGGCAACTTATGAGACTATTTATTATTCGATTTTTTAAAGAAAAAAATTTTTTTCAGAATAAAAATCATTCGACTAATTTAAAGATGGAAGGCATTGAAAAGCAAGAAATAAGTGAACATAGAGAAGGTAAAATTATTTTAGAAAAATTCAAAAAGCAATATTTTTGAAATGAACATTGAAAATATTCCACTAGATTTTTTATGCAAATTAAATTTATAATTATTATTTATAAAATAATTTTAATAAAATAAAATAATAAAACTCCATCCTATGGGCCATTTTCAAGTTGAAATATATTCGTTAGTATAATATTTCAAAACTCGATTTGTTGCTCTAACACTATTTTTCACAAAACAACAAAAGCAAAGGGTAATTTTGAGATCGACCCGCTTTTTAGTCTTGTTGGACCTCACCCGCAGCTTTTATTCCATTCTTGAGCCATCAGTGGTTTTAATTGGCCTTTTGACGACTCGTCCAGTTGTCACTTGGTGGAATCTTTGGCCTATTATTGTTTTTTTGAATTTCCTACTTCATAAACTCACATTTGATACATTTTTGCCATTAAGTCATCAACGTACCTTCGAACTTTTTATTTTTGCCTAATCAACCACTTTTTCATTAATTTATCTTTGTTAATTTTTTTTTGAGAATCCTCACCATTACTGGTTAAACTTGCTCCACTGGCTTGTCACATTGAGCAATATGCCATGGATTTCCTTGACGATAGAAATACAGGTGAGTCGCCAACTTCACCCGTATTTTTATACAGGTTTACTCCTGCAGGAAATCGAACCTCAGCATCTACGCTCCTAATCGAGCAACAACTCGCTATTCCATTCTATCCCCCAATGTCTTTGTTGATTGCTGATAAATTAATTGGTAGTCATTGGGGGATAGGCTGACTTAGTGGGTTATTGCTCAATTCAGAGCGCCGATACTAAGGTTCTATTTTCCACAGGAGTAAACCTGTCCAAAAATCCACGTGATGCTGGCGACTCACCTGCATTTCTATCGCCAAGAGATTCTCTGGCATATTTGTCCAGTGCGACAAGCCAGCGGAGCGAGTTTAACCAGTAATAGTGAAAACTCAAAACTTCTTCTTCAATTGATAGTCCTATTCCAAATCCTTTTTCTCGATTATAGACCCTACAATAGCTTTTTGTTTTCGATGAAGCTTATGCGACGGTCGAACCCGAGCCATTGTAGATAAAATATTGGCAACTAATATAATTTTCGCCCTTTGGAGACAACCTCAAAATTTATGTTATTTTCACTAGATCTTTTTCTTGTAACGTAATTTATTTCCCATTATATTGCCTTATTGCCTCTACTATTCTTCCTCTTCCAATGTTTTATAGTTTATAACGGTGGCCAGGATAAAAATTCGCCGGCCAGGCGTCGTAGGAAAATAAGGCTTCTCTTTTAAGAAGCAGGAAAACAGAGGATAAGAGATAGATAGATAGTTAGAGGACCAAATTGTATTCAAGAAATCTGGTAAAGTAAAGAAGCTTAAGAGAATATTGCTGGTGAGTTATAGTGAAATATTGAAAAAATGTGGAATATCGAAATGATAAGAAAAGAATTTAGAATATTAAAACAATACAAGGGTTAAGAAGTCCTGAGAAAAAAATGGTTAAAAAGAATTAAACCATTTTAGGAGATTGAAATGAGGTTAAAAATAATAAGTTGTAGCAAAAGATGAGGTGAAGATTAGCGAGGAACAAATTTTTCAGAGAAAAGTGGTGCGCCCATTGTTAGTTCAGAAAATATATTCATTAAAAACCAAAGTCAAGCGATATCATTACTGCAGTTGGCAGATCGGGAAACCGAATTTACCCAGCAAAATACCTCATTTACAATTGATTCATCAAATTTGTACTATCTTCCTGTCAAGGTAAACGCCGCAAAAATAAATGCTGAACTGGTCAGTGCTTCTTCTAGAAGTGAGAACTCTGAAATGATGCAAAGCACAGTAAAATTCAATTTAACCGATTTGTCTTTTTATACCGATAAATCACAAACTGGCGTTCCATTTCTAAATCCATGGGAGCAACAAAGGAATGATTCTGGTGAAAATGTTATCATCAACACATTGAATGAGATAGATCTTGATTTAAACGAATATAACGATATTTCTTATAATGAATTTGGTTCTACAACTTATCTTTCACAACATAAGTAAGTGGTTTATTATTTATAACGAATCTACGTTGAACCAGTTCTCAGTCTCAAATTAAATTAATGTGATAGAAGTTAACTAAAAAGATAAAGAAATATATAAACCAGTCGAAATTCTGGAGAACTTCATGAAAGACGATTAATTTATTCATCAATTTTCAGTGATAAAGAACCAACCATCAACATGGATACGGCGATAGGTGATAATTTTATGACTTTAGGGACAACAACTAAACATTTTGTGAAATCAGGCATAGACATGTTTCGACTCGCCATCGTGCTTCAGCCCCAACAAAAAAACCTCAGCTATCCTAACAACTTTGCCCTATAATCAATTGCTGGTGCACTAAGTTCTTATACTACAGGAAGAAATATACCATATAAATATTTATATTATTATTATAGTAATAACAATAATAATAATAAATAATTCAGAAGATGGTTCATTTGCCAAAAAACAAGTTGTCGAAGATGTCGCAAGAAGTAAAAAAGCATTTCGCATACAAACTACACCATTTCCAATAGAACGAAATCCATCATTTGACGGGAAAAATCAAGAATTTGGCAATGCAACGCATAAAAAATTTTTTATTCATATTGATCACCATGACAATTTTTATGGTCGAAATGCACCTAATTTACCAGTGTTGAATCCGAATTTAAGGAATGATAATGGCAAGAAAACTGTGATTAAAGCTGTAACAAGTAATTTTATGCATTTAGAGATTAAAATTTTATTCTAAACCACAAAGCACTAATTTAAATCTTAATTGAATTAATTAATCACATTTACGGTCCAGTTTTTCTTCTTTCAGCCTAATGTTTATATATATATTTGAAATTATGCCTTCTATCAAAGGGCAGAAGAGGAATCTATGATGATTGGCCTCAGTCGAAATTTAATTTTAAAATATCGAAATTTGATAGGAATAAATTAGTTATTGAAATCTTGCTGATGATATTTTTATTCTAATAAGTTCTCTTATAAGGAAATCCTAACCTAATCAGCAATCAGTCAGAACTATTTAGCGCTATTAGAAGATGAAAAAAAGAAATTTGAATTTAGTGAAATTCATCGAACTTAAACTTTGGAAAACTTTTAGAAATCGACTATGATAATCATGTTGAACAAGCAGTCAGCAATGATATAAATTTCTTAACGGAGGCAATGGAAACTGATGGTGCTAATTTTCATTCTCAACGCCAATATCATGTCAGTTCCAAATTTTATTAGACTAATTATTTATAGTTTCTCCATATCTTTTATCATATTTTGTTCAACATAATTTTCTAATTTTTTTTATAATTTTTTCATAAGGTCGATTTTTATTAATATTAATATTTATTAATACATATTTATTAAACTCAGTTCAATTGGCATTAATTTTATTCTAATTATGTTATTTAATTAATTTATTTGATTTGATTTACAGTGGCCTTTCTAATTAAAATACTTGTTGAAAGCTTATTTTTAAATAATAAGAATTGCTAATGACATTATAACAATCTTACTTTAGAGAAAACCCAGCGCACCGCGAATTGGTTATAAAACAACGTTTAATCGTAAAATGGTTGGAGGTAATGAAATAGAAGAACAGAATTCATTTGTTAGCGGTCAACCATTGAAAATTGAACTGCGAAATCCTTTGTTATACGGTAAGTCAACCAAATATCCATTGTTCCCATTCACCATAATAACTCGTTGTTTCACATTTATCGAGCGAGAAGCTGTTCTTTTTAACAATTTGGATTCCTCAAACTGGAAAATCACTTTGGATTTGCAATATTAAAATAATAATGTGTTCCGAGACGATAGCTTAGACGAGGCGGATGCATACGCTTCTTCAGGTGGTAATATCGCGAAAAAGGAGGAGCTAAAATATGAAAGAGAAAAATGTGTAGAATGCCTCAGTGAGTTGTTGCTCAATTTAGAGCGCCGATGTTGAGGTTCTACACACTCAACAGGAATAAACATATCATCAAAAACCCGGGCGATGATATTAACGACTCCACCACACTTTTATCGCCGAGTGACTCCTAGGCAAATTTTTCTGGCCCGATAAGCTAGCGGAGCGAGCCCAACCAACTATGGCTTGAATTATTATAAAGATACCAACATGATGGTATTACTATATGGTATCAAAGGCAATTGTTACCAAAAAATCACGAAAGAAATTTATAAAGAGAGATCTTGAAGAGGGCTTGAATAAGAACGAGTGTATAAAGAATGCCAAATAATATTTTAATGTGAAACGTGTGGTGTCCAGCTAACTATATTTTTAGGGCATAATTTAATTATGTCGCCTGGAGCAATAATTCACGAAAACCCAAACTTACTTCGCAGGAGTAATAATTTCATTGGCAATAATTCCGAGATCAATTATCATAAGTCAGATTTATTCCGAAATCGGCTTTCTGGATCTCGCATATACAATGTGGATGAAAATTTCTTGAGATATTACGAGGATGACAACAAAAGTAATCTTCAAGTGATCTCAGGCAGTTGGTTTATTGGCTTTTGCTGATTTTGAGACCTGTTTTGTTATTGCCTCTTTCGAAATATAAAATTACAAATGAAAATTTATTTGGTTGAAATTTAACCATTTTGAGGTAAAAAAATATTAAAATATTTTTTAAAAATAAATATATATTACCTTAGATATAAGGCTTTAATTTTCCTTTTATGGACAGCTATGAATTTGTAATTAATTAGCAATACCACTCATGAAAAATCTAAAAGTAATCTAGTAATCTAAAAGTAAAAATTGAATTACAGACAAAAGTCAAAGTGGAACTGAATCCTCAAAAATTCTACATCTTCCAAAACTGGCCCAGCTTAGTGGCTCAAACAGCAGTGCTGTATCAAAGGCTCGTTTCTTTAATAAAATTTTTTGCCATAATTTCATGGTAAGGGGTGATATTAAAAGACAGCTCGATGTTGATGATCAGAAATTTTTAAACTATTTTTCGGCCCTTCTTCAAATAACGCATTAATACTGGTTAGGTTGGCCCAAAGATGAGATGTTTCCAAGTCTCAGGCGTGCTCATTTTTTGATGCGAATTCACATCTTCCTGACAAGCCGCATAATATTATAGGTATTTTTCCTAAAAATATTCTAAAAAATATTTCCTAAATCCTCTAAAATTTTTTCCAATTTTTATTTACCATTCAGTTTTAGATTTCTTTATTAATTTATGCAAAGTAGATGACTTGCACATTCCTATAATTATTTGCAATTTTGTTAATTTAATTTAAGGAGCGAAAAATATTTAATTGTTATTACGTAAAACGGAATACCCTACTGATGAACGAATATCCTTTCAAAAGACGAAATGTGTTAGATCTTTGGCAGTGTGCTGAGTTATGTCTGAGGTTGCTTTTCCTATAAAATTTTTGACCAATCATTTGTCAGAGAGGCATTTGCGATATTATGTAAATTCCTTCTGTTACGATAATTTGATCAGTGAAAATTGATCAAATCTCCACGCTTCAAAAAACTGCATCTTCTATGCACCGCAGTGACCAACATTTTTTTAGAGAATATGAATGTATATCTGCAAGCTTCTCGACGAGGACATCATTTTGTGATATATATAATGTGATTAGTGGCAATAGGAGAGGTTTCATTCATATGGCGAATTATTATTATCTGGAACGTAATCCAAAGATATGGAAATCATGTTTAAATGGTCGGTTCTTTCCTCTAAAAGCAATAATTTTTCGAGTGAAAATGCGACATAACACTCAAAAATTTTAAAGTATTAAAAAATTAGTATCAAAAATCTCAGTCTGTTTCCAGGAGCATTCACACTTTTCTCGTTTTCATCAGTTTAAAGGCCAACCGTGTGAAGACAAAACTAAAAATCTTTTTGTTTTCAATCCATTTTAGTAGACTGGGATAATCATGACGGTAAAATTGGTAATATATCATCTCATATTAATTGCTAGATGCATCATTCTAATGGGAAATGAATGAAGCCTTAGTCGGCCATTCATTTCTCTACATATTTATTCTTTTGTTTTCACACTGCCTCTAGCTCTGGTGCACCAAACTTTAAAATGACAACACGGTTAATATCAATTTGGTTATAGTGAAGGGAAGTTTTTGTGGCAGTGCGCCAGTTACTACTATTTATTTCTATTTGAAAAACCATCTTACTAGTAAAGTTAAAATATATCCCATTAATATTAATAATATATTTGTTATGTCTTTTCCGAAATTTCTTATTAGACTAAATATTTCTTCAGCTTCTCATTATTCACGATTACTTACTTATTACTCTAAATATCCAATAATCCATTCAAAAGGAGCGCCTTTAGGCAATTTGAGTGAATGTCATGGAAATCATGACGATTATCATAAAAAATTGGACAAATCAATTATTTTTTCAGGCTTACACGATATACGAATCTCTGATAATTTAAGATCAAAGGCCAAACAAAGTGCTTATGGAAGCTCGAGGTTAATTTTTTGACTTTTTCGCAAACATTTATTTTCAAATATTCGAAAGCAATTATCAGTAATATAAACAAAGCAACACGCATATAACGGAAAATTATTGTCCTCAAGACAGTTTTCGCCAAAATGTCAATCGAAGATGGGTTTTCTGATGGGTTTTTATAAAAAAATTGAATAAAACGGTGTGAATGGCATATTTCAACGGTTGGAGTCGATTCGAAGTTATTTCGACTATAGAATTAAAGAAAATTGACGCCAACTATTATCGTTCCCTACTGTTTTCATGATGCATTCATTTTTTTAGCATACAAAAGCTCCATGCAAATTCGGCTTCTGATCTATTTTTAAGACATAAAAAAGCAAAGAAATTCGATTTATCTGAACGAACAAGCTTCACTAAAAAACGAAGTTTTTTCACTTTTAAATGCTGTTTTTTCTGAAATTTTCTATTGATCCTCAATTAATTCTACACAATTCTAGGAAAGAATGGCTTAATATAAGTCTCTACGTTGTTTGAACTCATTCAGATCGTTTTTAATTTCATAAGCATATGGGAGACGTTCAGAATATATGGGTATAGATTAATTAAATATTAATCCCTTGAAAATGGAAAAATGTTGAACATTACAGTATGTTCTTTTCTTTCAACGACTCCTACCATTGCTAGTTTGGTTGGCTCCAGCGGAAAGTGAGACGCTTCAGTCCTGCGAAGTTTCAAACTCTCTGCCATCCGATGATTTTAATTTTACATTCGTTCCGATGAAATATATGCAATAGCTTGTTGTTTATGCGGCAGATTCTTATGAACTAACTGATTTCAGGATCAGAATGTTTAGAAAACGAAATGGCTATTTTTATGAAATCTAATGGTTGGTTATTAACAAAACGAATTGGCAACGAATGGGAATTTTTATCAACTGAGGACGAATGCATCAATGTTTGTATGGATGAAATCGTATGTTTTTTTATTTTAAACTAAAAAACCAGCAACAATTCCAATGTAAACAAACAGATAAATTTAGCATTTATGTTCGGTTCTTTGAACATTTGTTGCTTTTATTTTCCAAACAACGCATATTTCAACAATTTAATGAAATATTATCCATCAAATAGCTAAATGCTTTCCATGTTACAAGTTTAATGAGTGCAGTCGGGAATATGAATAAAATTTTAATATATCAATATTTAATATTTAAGATTCCAAATTATAAGCATTTTCGCTGTGCATCTGTCCAGTACAATACACAATCTCTGATCTGCACAATATCTGGTCTGTTTGCTGGCCAAAAAAGAAACGATCATTTAAAGAAGCACAAATTTAATATATATTATGAAAAGATATGTGTCCCGCGTAAGCCATTTTTCAACAAAAAAGTGTGAAAAATTGAAGAAAAACTCTTAAGCGACCAATCAGCTTTATAATTGCTTTTAAGAACTTCACTTCGGTCACTTTATTCAAAATTATTTGTGGAACTAATTTTAGTATCAATTGGTGGGCTGTGCCACAGAAAAGTGATTGAAAGACAACCACAGCGAGTACTTCTCGGACGTGCAAATTCAGTAACAACTGTGGCTTCATTAAATGAATGCATACAGAGATGTTTCATGATTTCAGAAGAAAACTTTTTGAACTGCAAATCATTAACATATTTTCACGAAGTAAGTGATATTTTTAAGTTCATATTTAAGTAACACCGAACAGAGATACTGAAATGTCATAGGTCAGTTTCTAACCGCGACAGCAAACCTGTTATTATAAAAACCCGGAATTATAAAGTACTGGTAATGCACCTGTGATTCCATCGTCAATTCTCTGATAAAAATTTCTAACCGCACTAACAATCAGCGCAGTTAGCATAACCCAGAAATAGTAATCATTAACCACAAATTTACATAATACTGGAAATTCATTGGACGGAATTCAGTTTCAAATTAGTGGTTAAATAGTAACTGTTAATGTTTGTTACACATTGTTTTCATTTCTAATAAAAAATATAAATCAAATAATGGAATCATATTTTTTACAGGACGACACAAAGAATTGCATCTTGAATCAAGGAACAAGAAATGATTTTCCCGAGCTGTTTGTTGAAGAAATGGAAACATTTACTGAGTATATTGGAATTGACACGTGCTTTTCAAAAAAGCTTCATATTTGATCACCTAAAACAAGCAGAACTAACACTAAAATGGTAAAACCTTTTATGGCAGCCTTACTGCCACCCGACTTTTATTTATTTCCTCACACCATTCATCATTTCTCGTTTGATTTGTTCCACTTACTGCTATGATTTCTTTTCATCGGGGAGTCACTTGAGTCATAGGTATCCCAGAGTTTAAGTCAAAAGATCCGGACTGAACATATGAAGCTTAATTTCCATGCTGACAAAATTCTCGGCAAAAGGTTAGAAATATTTTAAGGTTAGAAATATCACTAAAATTTTTTAAACAGTTAACTTCATAATAAAAACAGAGAAATGCTTATCACTTTACGTACATTGTTAAAAATCTTTTGATGTATTTATTTATGATATTAAAAGTGAGAATTTCAGAAATAAAAACGGAAAAGCCATCGGTGATACATATTTATCTAGAAAGAACCTTAGAACCGCGACAGTGTGAAAACCGCGAAAAATATTTGATATCGCCTCAAATTTAATGTTCATATGGGTTAAAAAAATCGAATTTTTTATTACAATGCGGTAGTATTACATGCTCCAAAATTTTATTGCAAAAAATTGCAAAATTTTTATTAAATCCTTCCACTGTTGCTTATCAGATTTATTTACGGATATTTCCGTGACAAGAATACTTCAAATAATTCTTTGGCGAAGGACTCTTCACACCTTCGTAGATAAGGACCGAGCCGAAACAGAAAAAATGTTTTAACAATAAATATTAAAACGAATATTCTTCACTCCAAGCAAAATGCTTACTTGTTGCTCTTTTCACTTTACATTATTGTTATATTAGAATTCATGACGAAAATATAAACTAAACGTACCACAAATTATCGTGAATGTAAGTTTTGCACAATGCGTGTAGAAATCAATCATACCACACCATTAATCGTCCTGTCTTTATTTATTTATTTTAGCATTACTATTTCATATTTTCTTTTTCCGTAACCAAAATATTGCAATGTCAAAAAACATCAAAAATTTTTTTGTTAAAAAACGAATAATACTGTAATAAAGTACTTGCAATAATGAAACAGCCAAAAAAATCTCACAAATTAATTGATTGAGATAAATAAAATTAAAATCACATAAATTGAAATTTATTGAATATAAGGCATATAATTCAAAAAATACTGCCTAAATGATTGAAAGAAGCATGAACAAAGAATTATTTTAAGAAACTGATCTGAACCGTACTTAATGCGCACTCTTTGCGTATAACTATGTTCCCCACAAGATATTTCAAAAAACGCAATGAAAAAATCTTCACTTTCAAATGAAAATTTTCCTCGACTTGTTAATGAATTCAACTAATGAATTCAACGATTGATTACTTTAAAAACTATAAAAAAATAAGAAAATAAAAAAAGAAAAAATCTTGGATTTGGTCCAACAATCGAAATCATATTTGAAGTTGAGTCAAGATTTTTTAAGATGGATATAAACTAAATTAAATTAGTAAAAGAAATTCGATACATGATAAAGCTAACTGTTTAAGACGCAAACAAATTGTGAATAAATGAAATTTATAAATGAAAAAAGATATTTTCATGAAGAGCCACATATGATAGTAAATAATCATAATAACAACCATTAAAGGGGATTTCAAAAATCAAAACACCAACAATGATGTGACTGATTCCTATGCAAAACAAATGGCATTAAAAAATCGAATTTGAAAACAGTCAAAAAATTGAATTCAGGTATATACCATAAGAAACATAAACCATTTTCAAGATAGAAATACAGGTTTAAGTGATTTAACTGAATCAAAATACCAGCTACTAACCCACTAATTATTCCAGAACCACAAAAGGTTCAAAGTTTCAAACGGTTTATGTATCCTATATTAAGGCATATTAAATCGTAAACTCATTATAACGTTACATAAAAAATGTAATAATAATGGAAAATAAATAATAAGCTCATGGATTCAAAAAAAAAAAGAAAAACCAAATGCGTTCAATGTCAAGATCATGTTACAATAAGATACGAAATTCTGCTGTTAAATAATGGAAAAACATCGCAAGGTAAAAATTATATCCTCAATGTTTCTAAAATTAGGTTTAAAATTTACCAAGTTTTACCAAGCATGAGTCATTTTTGTATGCATTTTGGATATTTTGCAATAAGCTTCATAAAAGACCACAAAAACTATATTTAAGATCGATTCACCTGAGTATTATCTTTGTTTCTCGACGCTTCATTCTCTATAAATGCTCTTAATCGATCGAGATAGGCAGCATGAAGTTCAACATCGTTATGTCCAGCACCATGTACCCACAAGGGCTCTACTGATGAAGGACACTGTTCATATATACACACACCATGAGAGAAATCGATTACCTGAATTGAAACAAAAGTAGATAAGACAATTCAAAATCTACGAGAATATTTCATAACTTCACAAAATTTTTTTCCATCTTATAATATTAATTTAATAATAAAAAGTTAATACTTTTGATGAAAATGGTTGAGAAAAGGATTTTGTAATTGATATCATCCGGATAACCATAATCGAGTTTTAGTTTTAAATTGAAAATGACGAGTTTTAATTTTAAATGTCTTACAAAATTGCATTAAAAATCAGTAACTTGCCAACATTTTTAAACGCAGAAATTTTATATAAAAATGTAAATCAGTCAATTACCGGTTATTACCGAATAAAAAAATAAAACCTCATCATCAGTTCCATGAATAACTAAAGTTGGACAGCGTACACGAGGAATTTTTTCAATAGAAGGAAAAGCATCACAACACCACGTACGTTGGGTCCCTGGAAAAGCTACTCGCATGCCAGACATAAGTGGTGAATGCAGAATCAATGCTGCAACTGATTCTTCATTGCTCGCTAAATCAACGCTTGGAACGGTACCTGAATATGATAAATTAAATATCATTTATATTGTTTACGCTATAATCTGAAATGAAATCATGCAATAAAAACAGAATTCTGAAATTAATATTAAATATACCAAATATTTAACAAAAATTTTTCACAGGGTAAAATTAAATGATCACCTATGGATTGACCATATAATATTATGCGACCCAGTGGTATTTGGTATCTTGATCTAAGAGCAGCTAATGCTGCAGCAATATCGGCGTACAAATTTTTTTCAGATGGTTTCCCGCTAGAACATCCATATCCTGCAAGAATGAAAAATTTTTGGGAATTCCAGGAAAAATTATAAACGAAAATTTTCAGAGTTCCCAATGAATCCAGAGAGATCAATATTTAAAAAAAAATTCGTTCAGTAATAAAAGAAGCTGATATTAACTGTTATTTCATGAGATTAGACCATAAACATACCAGAATAATCGTAGCTAAATACATTACAACCCAATCGAAATCCAAGTCCGTAATAAAAACTGCACATTTGACCTAAATCGACTGCATTGCCGTGAGAAAAAAGTAAAGTGAAATGAGTTTCACCACAAGGCTTCACATACATGCAAACTATTTTATTCCTAAAAAAATGGCTCATTAATTTGGTTAAAAATTTTTCTACTTGTGTTAACTATAAATAAATGAATAGAAAAAAATAAATTTTAGAAATAAATAGGTCGGAAAAATAAAAGAACTAATTTTTGTCCAATGAATTCCGACGAAACTGAATAATTTACGAAAAAAAAGAATTGTGCAAAAAAATTCTAAAAAGATATCAACTAAGTCTTAGAAGAGTTTACTGAAAAAATTGCAATGCATTAGCCGATATGAGAGCAAAATTAGAAATATTAGAAATATATAAAATATATAAAAAATATATATATAAAATATATAAAAAATAAGAAATAATAATAAGAAATAAAAAAAAATAAGAAATATATAAAAAATTAGAAATATGATAAAATAAATTATTCATATTGAGAATTAAATGCAGATTAAATCAAAATCACTCTAGCAATTTAAAAATGAAAGATAAAGAATAAAAAATTAAAAATATCATGAAAATAATTGCCGCAAAATGCGATGTTTTTTCTAAATTTATTACTTCAAACTGGTGACCATGACTCACCAAAGGAAAACTTTCATTAATTTAATCGATTAATTTATTCTATTTTCATAAAAGATTAAGGTCAATTTACAGTTGCATATTCTTCTCAAGAAAACTGTTCTTTTCTTATTGTGGGGCCATCAAGGAACCCAAGCGGTTGGGTCCCAATATTTCAATATTTCACACTTTTGTTATTTAATATCTTTTACACTATAAAACGATTTGTTTTGAGTAATTATCTTTTTAGTCTATGGATTTAATTTTTATTGTTTGAGTATTGTTTTTTTTTATCAGTATATTACTGAGGTTTAATTACCCAAGTTTGAGGTGCGAAGAATAAAATTTTGTAAATACGTGCGGTGACCAATATTTCTACTACTGTCCACCATAATGTTTTTTTAAAATATTAACGCATGGCAGGAGATGATCATTTCATTGCCTTTAATTATTCCATTTTTTATAATAATTATTCAGCTTAAACAAAAAAATTTATAAAAAATTTTTCATGAATTCAACTATACAAAACAAAAAAGGAGGCGAATAGGATAAACCTTCTTCGAGTTCTTGTGTAGAATACATCGATATTTCGGAGTTCATCTGCACCATGTGGCCAATCTGCTCGACCTTCCACTAACTCAAGCGTAGTACTAAATTTTATTTAAAAATAAATATTCCTTAGTAGAAAAAAAACTCCAGTGAATTAATGTACAATAACCATTCATAACCAATAAAGTTATAGGCTTTTTCAATTAAACTTCGAATAAAATGTTTCAATGTCTTTAAACGGGCTAACAACAGAGATACAAATAGAGTTGAATAAAAACCAAGATTTCTGGACTTACTGTTGTGAATCATGCTGTACAATACGATAACTTGATTCAGGTGGCATGAAAGCAAGCTTAGAAACAATCGAAGACGGCAATGGTGGACAGCAAAAAAGGCAACAGAGATCCTTAACCGAAACTCGACTTGCAACTTGAGGTCCTTGATTTTGCGATGTATCATTTACTGATTGCATACTTGTCTTAATGAGGTGTGCCGAAAAAAGAAACTGAAGAACAAAAACAGCTAAAAATTCTTGAAATTTTTGATGATATCTTTCATAAGCGTTTCGATTATGCGATATATCAATCTGAAATTAGCAAAAAATTTCATTTTTATATTTTCAAAAATTTCATATTTATATTTAATAACAAAATATTAAATATAAATATGCACTAAAATTTTATTCCACACATACGAATTGGATCGAAAAAGCCCCCAAAGGAAAATTACTGCGGAATCTAAGAGCTGACTGATTAAAAAGAAAGTTCTCTTTCAGACTTATATTAAACAGACAGATCTGGCTAGTTTTCTCCCGTTAATTCAATGAAGCAATGCTAGCAAAAATCATAAAGAATTGATGAAAGCTTCCATTAATGTTGTTCGGAAGTGAAAATTTCCGATCCCAAATCTTCATTCCCTCCATCACTATTTTTTATAATAATTAGAAATACCCATAAAAAGGAAAAAAATTACCCATACCCATAAAAAATATAAAAAATAAACAAGTAGGAAAATGGATAAACCGCTATACCCCTTTTATGTTTAATGGTACAATCAATGATTCACTTATTTATTGGAACTTAAGACGAAGCGAGGTAAGGTAAGCGAGCAAGATAATCTATAATTACCTGCTTAAAGATATAATTAATTACTTATAAATGAAATCCGTTCTTTCAGCAGAGAAAGCACAGCCTTTATGAGACATTCCAAGCATCGACTTTAATTTATTGTAGGATTCATTTATCAGAATGTTACCTGAGCACACGCCCAACACCCTTCGCAACCCTAATGATAAGATTAATGATAAACTCATAGAGCTGATTGATTGATAAAGCGAAAGGAAAGAACTAAAATGAAACCCAAACAAGACATCGCTCGACAATCAGACCCCCACCTTCCCCCACCCTCCTTAATCAACCTGTAATTTTCACCAGTTTTACCTCCTTTCTAAACAATGATACAGAACGACAATTATCGGGTAGTTTTCAGCTTAAGATGTAGAATTTAAAAATTCATTTTTAAATTCATTTTTAACAGCGCTATATTCCATTGTTTTCAACTGCTCAACAAATAATGATATCCAATAGATGGATTTAAGGTAGTTATTTATACGTTGTACTTTGGCAAAAGAATGTGCGGGCGGGTTTTGTGGGATACAGTTCGACTCGAGAAGGAAAGGAAATGAACTGACAAAAAGTAAAAATTTAGAAAGAGAGTTCTTATTGCAGAGTGCCGATGCTGGAGTTCTATCTCGACAAGAGTAATTCTGCTGCTGGCAACTCAGCTATATTTCTATAGCCAAACGACTCCCTAGCAAAATCTCCGGTGCTGCGATGAGCTAGCGAAATGAGCCTAGTCGGAAATGTCGAACGCAGTTGAGAAAAAATCGAATATTTTGAACCCCTCTCATTTTTTCTTTATTTATCTTTTGATGAAAAAGGAGATAATCAGTTGGCGATATCAGAAATAAAAATAAACATTTTCGGCAAAGTATTAAAAAATAGCTTCAGGCAGAACTGCTTAAAAATCGCGTAAAATCACATCAAATCAAATCAAATTAAATCAAAACCATCCATTTTGAAATCAAATTATGATTTTTTTACAATTTTAGTTTTTTAATAGGAAAAATTGAAAAAATGCTTCGGATTTTATCAGATTCAATTGGAGGAAAAAAATCTTCATATTTCTTTCGTATCGGCGGCTCATTGATATATACCATTAGCTGACGGAGAAGAAAATATTTTGTTTCCAGGTAGAGCAACGGGTTTTTCGAGAGGCTTGGCAATGCCTCACCTTTCTAATTAGCGAGTCAGTCTAATAATCGTAAGAGCCCACAAGAAAAATCGTTAATTATAGGATTTTGAACATAAAAGAAAAGGTGAAGATTCATCTTATAGCTTAACCTGTCGATTATCATTCGATCTCCTAGTAACTGTTTTTAATGAGATTTGATCAAAATGAAAATACTTGCATACCACTGATCACTGACGGATACATTGAAGTTAGCTGTCATGATTTCTTCAAAATTAATTTCATTTAAGGTAAAAAAATTAGAGATGCAGCAAAACGTTATTGCTTATCACCAGTTATTACCTAGCATTACTCATTAGCACTAAGCTAAGCACTGATAATTTTTAGACCATAAAAAATTTTAAAATTGGTCATGGATATATTTGAATCTTAGGATTATAGTCAAGTATAAAGTTATACAGCAGTGTATTTTCATGAATTTTAGTATTGGGATATAAAAATGTTAGGGTCAGTTTTGAGTAGAGCATAAGTTTGGATATATCTGAAATGATCAAAAAATTTTGAGCTTAAAAAGTAGATTTACAGTGAGATGGCGAATGGAAGACAACTACTTAGCATTCCTATATTAGTAAAAGTTAAATTCATGAATAGCCGATTTTTCTTCAAGTTTTTGCTAATAAACTTTTTTCGCTTTATGAGCTCATTTTATGGCAATTATATCGCTCAGCTTCCACAAATGTTAAAGGTTTCATAGATCGGATTTTTATTATCGTAAGGATTATAATTATATTCGAATGGCTACTGACATGCCTAGCAACAAGCGCTATTAACCATTGTCAGCAGTTCGAAGAAGGTCATGCTATTAATATTAAAATAGGCTTTAAATAGCCTATTTTAGAGTTTTAAAGAAATTCAACTAGAAAATTCTATTAGAATTCGGCTTTTCTGTTCATCAACATCAAAACATCAACTTAAATATAAAATTAAATTCTAATACTTCAGAAAACTCGAAGTACTACATTCGATGAATTATCGTTGAGAACAATCGTTTTTACTCTCTATATTTAAACGAATTTTTTAATTTTAATTTTAATTTTTAATTTTTTAATTTTTAATTTAATTAATTTGAAATAAAATTTTTCAGATTTCTGTGAGAAAAAATTTTTAAAATTCGTCGCACCTGAAGAAAATCACAAAAAATATGTTAAAACTGAATATTAAAAGAGCGATTTCCAAATGGATGCAATGCACGAATTTGCTTTTAGGAATTGTTGGTTAAATATAATAAAATATAAATATAGCTACCCTGTTTGCCACATTTTTCACGACAAATCATCCTCAAATCCTTTTCATGTACTTTGTAAAAAAAGTTTATTGGTATTACTGCATTCACATGAAAGAAAATAAACTCATTAATTCGTTTTTTTTGTAGGAAATATTTTGAATTTCCATTGAATTTTATTTTTTATAATTATGCGTGGGGAAAAAAATTTTTGTCAAAACCGATTTTGGCTTATATAAAATGGTTTTTATTTCCATTTACGACCAACTATAAAGAAAAATACTAATTTTTTAAAGCACTCACCATTATTGGTTAGGCTCTTCTGGCTTGTCACTCTAGGAAATTTGCCACAAAGTCCGTTAGAGTACGAGTCGTCATCCCAATTAAAGATATATTAGTGATAAGACATGTTTGCAAAAGTCCGCCATTTCACACTAGGGAGTATACTAGTAGAAAGAGCGTTAGCTGGTTGTCGGAAGCCACTGTCCAATTGTTTGAAAAAATGCCAGAGCACGAATGTCAGGAAATCCTGAGAACTGGATGCTTCGAAGAATTGCAGAGATAGCAGCAAGGCGGGATAGAAATCGCTATTAGAGCAATATGGCCTTGAGAATGGACACGGCTGCTCGATTAGGGGATAATAGGAAACCAATTCGCTTTCTTAACAAGTGATTACAACTCGAGAGGAGATCAGTGAAATGGTACGTGATGAGAGGCCTATAAAGGTTATTAAGGGTCGCCTCATAAGATTTAAAGAATTGTTTGAGAATAAACTTAAGCACGATGCGCCATCTGTTGTCTCAGATATAGCTGATTCGCTCATCAAGCCATAGGTTTGCAACTACGAACCGCCAGAAGAGAAAATAATTTCTGTAATCCATAAGTTTAAGGCTAATAAAAATCCCGAAGAAGATGGCCTTCGGATCGAACTCTTCAAATCTTCAAATGTTATCCATCATCACTCTCGCCTTCAACAAATTCTCTGGTATGGCAAAAGGAAATAATACTAGAAGATTGGAACAAAGCGATTCTGCTTTCATTTCCTAAGAAAAGACAGGACGTAATACGACAATTACGGGAGAATCAGCCTGCTAGACATCTCCGGAAAAAAATTTTTCGCTTTCCTTCTGTTAAATAGACTCATGGCAACACGACATAGCAGAATGTGTCTTTTAAATATCTTAAATAAATATCTTGAATCTTCTCTAATACCGAATGGCTAGGCAAAAGACGAAATTACGAAAAGACGAAGCTAACGGTATCTGGATAGAAATATATTCTATCACCATAAAAACGAAAGTCCGCGTCTATTAGTTTTAATCCGCTCGATTTTGCTACATGGTTATGAGACATGGTCAATGAAAGTGGAGATCGCCAATCAGAAAAAATTTTGAACAGATAAAGAGAACAGCGATATATGGACTTAGACGATGGAAAAAGGAGTGGCTTCTATTACTACTAGCGATGGCGTCAAACCGAGCAGCTTGGAGATCCTCATAGCCAGCTGAACCAACCTAACCAATGGTGGTGAGATTTATTAAAAGAAGAAGAAAAATCGCTATCACTGAGCGAATTTTTAGACAGATTTGCTCCTGTCGAGAGCAGAATTTTGGCATAGACGCCTAAGTTGGGCAAAAACCCACTGAGCCACCTCATTCTCCTTTATCTTTCTCGTTTTTTCGTTAGGAAACTGTTGACGAATAGTAATTGAATAATAATAGAAATTGTTGACGAATAGTATCCGAGACCACTAAACCACCGACGCACCGCAATGATATGGTACTTTCAATATTTTTTTATTCAATATTTTTTCAAATAATGTTGTTTTTGGAAATTGATTTTACATAGATTATAACAAAAATTGAATTAATAAAAAATAATTCCAAATATAACTAGCAATAAATTTAAAAATTCGAGAAAATTTTCCGAGCTAAATCGTTTCTTTTTTTGAGGAAATAGGGAATCCCCTCACTGATAAGTGAATTTCAGAAAGACCGAGCGAATTTTGCTTGAAACCCAGATGTATCCTCATCATAATTTTTCGTCACGTGTTGCTAAAACAAATAACTCATATTGTAAATATATAATTATTATTATAAAAAAATATTATTAATTATTATGGTAAACAAGAGTTTGTAAGCAATTTTGTGGCTTAGAATAGCTCAGAAACTAATTGAAATGCGTTGATAATAATTTAGAAAAATTATTGGTTTTGTCAGTTTTATTCAGTTTTTTATAATGTCTTTATTCTTACAACGGAAATATACAGCACGATTTACAAGAAAAAAGGCAACAGATGCAAATCCAGTGCTAAAAAATTCAAGTTCAACCTAAATTTGCATTCTGTATTATAAAATCCAGATTTTGTTGAGTAAATGGACTATGAAAATCAACATGAGGAGGAGGATGAGGAAGGAATAGCGCGAGTTTTTTGAGGATATCATTGTTAGTTGATGATCGATCGTTTGAGGTCAATGATGATAATCCTTGTTGCAAAAGTTGAGTTAAAATAGTATTATCTAGATTTTTCTGAAAAATTCATCATATATTGTCATTTTACAGGAGATTCCAAGTCAAATTATGGGCCAGACAATTTTTTTAATCAAAACTTCACTATATATTTTGATAAAGTTCTCGCCACCTAGAGAAGTAGTAATTGACACCTCCTAAATCCTCTTAAAACGAAAAAAATGTGGTAAGAGATTAAATCATTGATGGCATTAGTGCATTAATTAAAAAACATTTTAATTAGATTTCACCATTCACTGCTCGTAAATCATAATCATAATCATGCTCCTTCTCAAAAACCAAGGCCAAAAATTTTTTTTAGAAAAAGACAGATAAGATTTATTATAGTTATTATAGTAAAGACAGATAAGATTTATTATAGTTTATATGTTTATAACAGGAAAATTGGTTTCATAACGACTCATTTTCCCTAGCGTACCCACGAGAGGTACATAAATACATAAATATATTGGTAGGTTACAAGGCGTTTCTTCTTAAGGTTTCCTCCTCGCACATTCTTTGTCTCATAAGTTATAAATATATTTTGGTACGACTATTTAATCTGTCCAAAGTATGAAAAGTGAGAAAGAAAAGTACTTCGTGCAGCCGTTAATCGAGATGGACGGATTCCAGTTCTTTGATAACTGCTTCATTGCCAAATTACATGCTGTTACCTATCACCGCTAATTTCTTAATGTAAGCTTTTCTTTGATTTAAACTATAAAATTATGTGCTACACTGTTGCTAAGGTAAGGAAGTAAGTACGTATATATATTGCATATAACGAAAGCTGCATGAACTAATATGCGGGTTAAACGGCTTTAGTCTAGAATAACATTTCTAGGGTACTAGGAGGGTGCTATTTTGGCCTTTAACCCTTAAAACGGTGGCGTGGTTTTGCAGATGAATACACTTAATAATGAGTAAATTGTAGACTTTTAAATAAAGCCAGATGAAAAATTAAAATTTTTCAGCGATGTTTGCGTAAGTAGTTTTGATGCGAAAATATTCAACAATATTCAATATTCACGCGACAATATATATTGAAATATTGATATTCATCGTTGGCCAATCTTTTTAAGAGGAGCAGAAACCCTTTTTATTGCTAAAGGTGATAAATATATTGCACCACTGTTTTATCGCATTTAAAATCTGCGGATTTATTACTTGCTTTACTCATAGACTCATTTGAGAATGTGAAGATTATTTTTATCATTTTCGGTGCATTTTCGGTGCATTGACAAATGATCGAGTGGAATATTTTATTTTATTTTATCAGCAAGTAAATAAATAAGTTTAGCGCTCATCATTAAGCTTGACTCCAAGAGTGTTAATATAGTGAAAAATTTTCGCTAGTACAAGTCTCAAGTCCCACCAGAATTTTTTTGTAGCAAATTTGTTGCTTGGAGATAGGATGCGAGCTTCTGATTTCTGATAACGATAATCTGATAAACTAATAGAGCAATAAGAAAGTTTTTTTCTTGCCTTCCAGTAATTTCATTCAAATTTCACTTTTGAAAATTAATGTTCAATGTTCAAAAAAAAACTTTCTATTTATACTTGGAAATGCGAAGGAATTATATTTTATATGCGATTATAACACGAATATGCACTCCTACATAGCTTGCAAGAAATTTTCTAGTATCAATCGAGCCATGGATGCTAGTCGAGCGATCGCTCAGGAGGTAATGAAAGCCTATTTGAAGAATGGTTCTCTCGAAAGAAAGCAATTTTGGCTGGTGAATGGCGCCAAGATTAGATAAGGATAGGTGGATAAGAATTATGTAAAACCTTCTGAGAAACCTTCAATGCTAAATTTGAGATCTTTTTTCTTCGGTTTTTTCGCTAATTGGTTGATAGTCTAAAATTGTGAACAATTTTCAATTATTTTCTCAAAAGAATACAGTTAACGCTCAATAAATGTTCATACTTTAGATGAATGTAAAAATATGGAAAAAATATCAAGATTATTGCCAAGGGATTTCACAGTGCTAGAAAATTGGCGCAAACCCTATAATTCCCAAAAAAATTTTGGAAAATTCAATGAGTAGAAATAGCCTACCGGAGCATTAACTGGCTTAATTGGTCGAACCTTGGTTTCTTTATGATATATAAGTGTTGTTAATGGTAATATTGTAGAAGTCATTTCTTCCTTTGATTTTAGTTGTTTAATTAGCTGTAATATCCAAAGAAAAATTTGACTGGTAAATTGATCAAAATAATTGCAAAGTTGGCTAATCTTACGAAAAAATTACCTGTTGATTTGAAAGTTTCTCGAGACCAAACTGTTTAGCGAATTGATGAAAATGAGTTTCCATGAAAGGTTGATCACCAATATGCGATAGTAATGTTGCTAAATCTGATAACTTGGGCTGAGAATTGCTATGATTTATTCCGATATTTGGGTTAATAGGCTTCGACAAAGCTCGGAAAATATCGCTTGACTTGAATATGCCATTCAGTTCGTGCATTTCCGACTGATCTTCTTTGCTAAATGTTAGTAACGAATTAAGCACTTGACCACCGTTTAATTTTGTTGATGCGTTTTCGAAAAAATTTAAGGAAGAGCTATTATTCGCTATAGATTCAGTAGGTATAGAATTCCATGAAAGACTTTTTTCGCCGAAAATCCATGTTCGCTGAGTGGTTAACTGAGGTCGAATTAAGGGACGAGACGTTATTTGTAAAAGCGCAAATGGAAGCGAAGGATCGATTTCAATCTTTTCTCGCTTTATTGACGCTGTGGTTGATAGAACTCCAGTATTATCCTGGAAAAACAGCAATCAGATTCTGGCACTTTTCTCCTCGTTAATTAGTTTATTCACGTTTGTTATGCTAAATGCTAAACATTCCATGGATAATTCTTCAATTTGAAGTTTGAAAATGAGCTTTATGGGTGGGATCCGCCTTCCTTTCTGCCTTTGATCCTAATAGCAGTAAGCAAAACGTGACAAAACAGAAATGGTGAGTGCTGCTAGAATTGTTAGAATCAAACGATTTTATGATCTTATAACGACAAAAAATTTCCTTTATTAGTAAGTTTTCGAATAAAAAAGGAAACTTACTTCGCCTTTTGTTTTTTGATAAGCTGTTAATCTTTCAGGCTCCACTGACGTGGATTTATTTGGCACAATTGGTATTATCGAAAATAATTTCGGTTCTAAATTAAATATTTTTATAAATGTTCAGTGAAAGTATAGCAAAATATATTTTAAAGCCTCTTATTTATGAAGCTTACCTGAAGCTTTCAGAAAAAATTGTTCAATTATCAATAATTAATGGATATAATTAAAGAGTGAAAAATCTCGAAGAAATTTCGCAGATTTGTTGAGTTCATTATCTGTTTCGACGAATGAAAAGAGAATGGATAATTTTAGATGAATAAAATATGCAATCTGGAAAGAAATCGCATAAAACTCACCACAGCCAATTTCATTTCCATCTTTATCTATCAGTTTAGTATTGGATATAGTAATAAAATTATTTATTGGTACATTGGCTTTCAGCTGAATTTTTGTAGGTGAGCGAAATGATCGAATAGGTATACGCAGCCTTCGCCAGCCTCCTTCGCCATATAGTCCATATTTTGACCATAACACAAGTTCAGCTGTTGGAACAATTTCTGTCACAGTGAAATGAACGCCATTACTAAAATCATTTTAAAATAACATATTTTATTTAAAAATATTAAAAAATTTAAATTATCACGTGTATCTTTCTCTTTGCAAACTGTTTTTTTGCCTCCTTAAATGATTTTTAAAAAATGCCAAAACCTTAATTTTTTTTAATGCAAGGGATTATAAAAAAAATGACAAATTTTAATTGATGAATTAATGGTCTGAATTAATGAGCATTAATGAGCATCGCTGTTCTTTCTAAGTTTGGTTTTTGTGGAACAAATTAAGGATGGACTGGTATTAAAGAATAAAAAAAGGTCGCGACCTCATCCAGATATCCATCTCAAGAGACGCATCTCTTGGCACCGTAAATAGGTCACTTGTTACCATATCTTCCCCTTCCTTATCCATAACCAGATTTCCATCCAGTCTTAACCACTTCGGACCGTGATTCCTAAATTCTTCAAGATTGTTATAAAGAATAGATTACGAAAAAAAGACAAAAAACCAGAAACCATGAACATGAAGATTCGACGAATGCACATGAAATGGCATAGCAATGTTTGTCGTCCATATTATTTTCAGTTTTCAGTTGCATAAAAGAAATCGGATTTCGATTAGCGCTAACAAGTTTCTCCCATCCTAATGAAATTTCCGAATAAAAATTAAGGCATATGAAGGAAGAAGAAAATTAAATATCTTAAAAATATAAATAATTATTATTGTTAAAGGGCTTTGATGAAATAAGCTTCTGCTTCTTTTTTAATTTAAAATTAAGTTTCTAAGAATTTTGCAGTGTTTTTATTGTACAAAAATATTTTAAAAAATATTGCTGAACAAATAAAATTAAATATTGTTAATAAAAAATATTATTAATCAAAATGTCGATTAACTTCATTCATTTTATTTCATTAAAAACAAAAGAATATGAAATACAAACCTTTTAAGTTTATAGACTCATTTACATGTCCAACTATTTGATTTGTTAATGCATTTCTAAATTTATTTTATGAGTTCAGAATCAACGATGATAATTGTTGATTTTCAAGGAATTTACGGAGAAAAGCCTTGTTCACGATTATAAAAAAAAGGAAATTTATTCGTTTTATTTTTCGAATTTTAAACTTTAGTAGAGTTTAATAATATTGTTCATTCGTTTTCTGCGCTATTTCATTTTAACAAAATCTTGTTTTTCTTAAGTGGATCTTGAATATATTCAGAAATTATACTAAAAGCAGATCAAGTGGGATAGTTGCTTAGGTTAAGCGCCATAGGTTCGATTTCTTTGACCATTAAAATCCGAGTGGTGCTGGTGAAATACTTGTAGTTCTATTGCCTCCTCGGCAAAAGTTCCATGTTTTAGCGAAGTGGGCCTAACTCAGAAAGAGTAAGTTTTCTTCGTAAAAAAAGGAATTTCATCTGTTGGCCTTACCTTATACCAAATTTATTGGTTGGTGCTAAATTGTTTAAGCCATCGTTATAAATTATATCGTCGATAGCAACGACATCATTCACAGTATTGATATTACTTACTCGAATCATTACCTTCAAAGCAGAAAAAAATTTCATTCTTTCATGATTTTTAGAAAAAATTGTACCTTCAAATTCAATTCAAGAAGAGCATTGAGCAATTAATACAAATATGGAAATGATAAAATAAAAAGTCGACCCGTGCTGGTTTTTTTCTGGGAGGCAGTACTGCAGTTTGCTTTACCCAGTGTTGTGATCCTCTTCCTGATAATGTAAGGATACAGATTACTTCATCTGTTATTTCTGTTAGACAAATCTAAACTAATATGCAATATAATTATGACCTTATAAATAAATAAACTGTTATGATAAAAACTTCAATTCCAATTAATTCCAAAATAAAAAAATTAATAATAGCAAATTTATAATAGATGCATGAACATAAAAGAGTATATAATTTTAAAAATAGTAATGTCGAGCGGGAGACGAGCGCCTAATGCTGGAGTTCTATTTCTCGCAGAAGTAAACCTGTCCGAAAATCCGGGTGGTACTAGCAACTCACCTGTACTTCAATCGCCAAGAGACTCTCTGGCATATTTTTCCAGTGCAATAGAGTCTAACCAGTAATGGTGAGAGCTTCTTAAAAAAAAAAGTAATATCGAGCAAAATTTTATCTACGATATTCAATTTAACAATTATAAAAAAATTTTCTGATAAATTCAAGTAAATTTGAAAATTTACATCAATGGTTGGTAAATTGGTAATTTTCCAGTACCAAAAGTTAAGCTGAGAAAATCGCAGAGTTATTGGTAAAATTGGACTGATTAAACGTCCTTGAGAAGGTGATAGAAATCTTCTCCGTGCAAAAGCGAACGATCCATCTGAAAATTAATTTAGATCCACTCTTGTTAAATTAATCTACCATTTTTATCGAAATAGAACTAAACATAGAATTTTGTATGGAAATTTGTACATTCAAATATATATTCAAAATATTCAAAATCTCCAACATTAATAAAAGGTTTTTGTTAACCATTAAATTTCCCATACCACCATTAATACACTTAACTGCCAACTGTCAGGACATGGAATGCATAGACATACATTACGTAAAATGTTGTGTCTGAAAGATCAGTCTGGAAAAAAATTAAAAAAAGATAATTTTAAAAAAAATAATGTGCAATCATGAACTATAAAAATTCGGAAGAAGAGTGAACTGAAACGAATCCAAAAACACAGATTGACTGATCAACCATAAATTGGAATCGGATTGCCAGTTGCACAATGATCCATCATCGAAATTGCAGTTCAGTCCTTCGTATTTCTTACCGCGACCAGCTTAAAAAATTTTTGTGAAATTTAGAAATTAGAAGTGACAACCAAAAAAAAGTATACAAAGTTTATTTGCTAAAGCCTAATTTTTTGCAAATCGAAGAAATATAGTTTTATGATTAAATAAAATATAATTTTTATAATATAATGTAAATATAATTTTTGAAAATTAGCATTTACAATTTACAGTTATTCTTCAATTCATATTTAATATGGACGAGCAATATCGTCGAATTTACCAGTCAATATTTCACCTATTATGTAATTCTCGCAAATTTTTCACTAAAAAATGCAAGTGATATTACGAATCCACTCGTACTTCTAACTCTAGCCTAACGCTGCAAACGACTCTAGTCAGTGCAAGCAACTTAGCCAGAAGTATACTTTTATTTATTTATCTCTTCCCAAATATTTCAAATATTTAATTTGCAGTCTAGTCTAAATCTAATTTCTAAATTTAAATCTAATAAAAAATTAATCAGACTAAATACAAAATCAAAATTTTATAGCTCTAGAAATGTGCGATTGATGAAAACGGCAAATGTGTGAAGAGCTGGAGTAACAGATAAAAAATTTTTATTAAATTTTTATTATTATATATTATAATTATTGTCTTAATGCTTATATGAAATTTTAGATGAAATTTTTCTAAAAAAGCATTTCTACTGTTAAACTTATTTTAAAATTTAAAACTAAACTTATTTTAGTAAACTTGTTCATTTAAACTTTAAACTTAAACTTATTTTATGAATGAATAATATTTCTTATAATTTGGCTGTTAAAATTAGTGAAAATAATACAAAAGCAGCGAAAAATCAAAATTAATTTTTAGTCATTCAAGTGTTGGAGAAAACCTAACCTATAATTCAAAAATCAGAATGGGGCTAGCCACATATATTTCTGTCGTCAAGTTAATCCTTGGCAGATTTCTGACAACCAGCGAAGCTGGGACAACCTGGTCTAGATGAATGATGCTAGCCACTTAATCATGCCAAAATATGCTGTTATTAAATTTTTTAAATTGAAAATTTCAGTTCAAAGAATTTATTAAACAATAAACTATAAATACATATACCTTTAAATAATAGTATTTCGAGTAGAAAGTAAGAAAGAACTGGAAAATCTGTTAGTAACATATCCGTAAAGTGGATTATTTTATGAAATGTGGGCCGATAAACCAGATAGAACAGTTAAAATTTAAGTGACCGCGTTATGCTTTGCTGATTACCTTTCGTGGATCACTACAACTCTCCTCTTTCGTCATCCAACGAGATATAACGTAAATGCACAAAATTTACGAAAAAAATATCAAATTATGAACAGAAATCTGTTGAAAAACCATTTCAAATAATTTTAGAAAAAAATTCGATAATTGTAGGATCGAAGTGAAATTCAACGATGTAGAAAGAAAAAATAAAAGATGAATGAAAAATGCCAAAGTTTAAAATAAATAAAAGGAATGCTTATCGAATCCTATTGGCCTGTTGCATATCACATTTTCAAGGATTCGAATAAATTTCGTTTATCGTCATCGCATACGCATCTAAAAATAAATGTCACAGACTTGAGAGCAATTTATATTAGAAAAACTTTTATCAGTTTTATAAAAATTCAGATTTACTGGGAATTTACTTTTAATCATCACCATTGAGCCTTTTTCTTGCCAATCAACCAAATTTCGAAATTATTTGGGCCATAATTTAGTTCACAAAAACTCTTAAAGACGTATCACAAAACCATCATCATTCTAGGTTCTGATTTTATAATCTTTCTTTAAATTTGAAAACTGGAGTTATTGCATTGGACTGAAGGCACCAAAAGATTAAAGTAATGTCTCAATTTCTAAAGTGTACTCATAATTCCTGCATTGTCATTATCATTATCCAGTTTTTAAATCTATAGAATTATTGATATTATTTATTTAGCACAAACATGTTGTGAATCCAATTTGACTGGTATAACATTTAATCTTTTTCCATTGTTTAAATTCTATTATAATGTTTAATATTCCTTAGCAACTTTATGATTTAGGAATAAAATTTGTAGCGCGAAATCAAAGATTATTGACTTAAGCGCATGGCTACTGCGCGGTATCTTTTTAATAAATGATGGCTATATATCTCGTGTAATTTAACATAATTTGAAAGAACCGGAAGTGTCACGGACCAAAAATCTTTTATTTATAAAATCGTAGCCATATTATACTCAATGGCGTTGCCAAAAATGGCCGAAATTTGAGGCTTAGAAGCAATCCATAAATATATAAATATATATATATATATATATATATATATACAAAATTCACAATGGACGGCCTTTTAATGTATCAGAACCACAGAAAAATTTTAGCCCATTATCTCACAACTTTCTTAATGCTAGCAAATATGCGTATGACAATATATAACAATACTACGCATAAAATGGTGCGTTTTACAACTCTGAATTTTGATATTTTTAATATTTTTGCCGCGATGATATTTAAAAAATAAAAGAATGTAAATCGCATAGCCACCAGAGATCGAAAAATAACTAATTGAGCGCAAATCCAACATCAAAAATCGAGTAAAAAAGGCAAACATTCATCCATTGTACAGCCACAAAGAAAATACAGAAACTATAGACTGGTAGGTTTTAACACTTCATTCAAAACCATCATTGCTTCCTTTTATTTTCATCATTACTATAAATCCTTGTTTAGAAAAAATAAATCAAATTTTTAAAACAAACAAATTTTTAAGAATATGATTGTATTTTTACAAAGCTTACTTGAAT